GGCTCATGGACCTGCTGAAGGAAGCCTCCTGGGGGGACCGTGTGCACATCCTGCGGGCGCTGCTGAGGCTGCTGCCTGAGATGAGCAAAACCCTCTACAAGAAGCTGCAGGAGACCCTCAAGTACCTGCTCAACCTGGACGAGCCCCCCAACCTGCAGGTTCGCCCCACCCCGCCCGCCTCGCCCCAACCCGCCCTGTCATGCTCCAGGCCGGCCCCACAAATCGCCCCCTGCCGGTGCTCAGGAAAAGACCCAGAGGCAGTTCGTGATGCTGGCTCTGCAGCTGCAACTGGCCTGCTCCCTGGAATCCCGCGAGGTGGTGCTGGAGCTCATGTCCTACCTCCTCTACTCGCCAGCCTCCTGCCGGTGAGGCCGCCCTCGCCCGCCCTCCTCCGGCAGGGGTGGGAGGCAGGAGCTGGGGGACGGGCATGAGCCACCCTCACCTGTTGCAGGCCTGAGCTCAAGAAGCTGCTGGAAGGGCTGGGCCTCCAGGACCCGGAGGGCTTCCTGTTCAGGGAGATGATGACCTGGGTGCAGGACATGGACCTGCACTGCAAGGCCGTGCTGCGCCGCTGCTGCTCCCAGAAGCTGGAGGAGATGACCCACCTCCTGCAGGTGTGTGTGGGGGACCTGCCAGTGGAGCCTCTTGCCTTCCCCAGGGCTTTCCCCAGGTGCAGGGAGAGCAGGGGAGGCTGGGAGGCCATGCCTGGCTCTAGACCGGCGGTTCTCAACCTGTGGGTCGCGGCCCCTTTGGGGGTCGAACGACCCTTTCACAGGGGTCGCCTAAGCCCATCGGAAAACACATACATAATTACATATTGTTTTTGTGATTAGTCACTATGCTTTAATTATGTTCAATTTGTTTTTATTTTGTTTTGTGGGGTTTTTTTAGTTTTATTTATTTATTCTGCTTAAAGTATTACAAAGGGTATTACATATGTGTGCTTTTTTTCCCCCCGCCCTTGACAATCCCCTGAATTATGTTCAATTTGTAACAGTGAAAATACATCCTGCATATCAGACATTTACGTGACAATTCATAACAGTAGCAACATGACAGTGATGAAGTAGCAACGAAAATAATTTTATGGTTGAGGGTCACCACAACATGAGGAACTGTATTAAAGGGTCGTGGCATTAGGAAAGTTGAGAACCTCTGCTCTAGATCCATGGCACCTGTCCTCCTAGTCCCGCCTCTCTCGGGATCTTCCTGCTTCTTCCTGGGAGGGAGTCTGCAGCGGGGTCCAGCTGGGGTCCAGGAGCAGCACCCCGATTCGGCCTCCTGCCCCCACTCCCTCCCCTCTCCCCCGCAGGTAGAAGCCTTGCAGCCATCAGTTGCCAGGTTGTCGGACGTGCTGCCCAAGGTCTCCGAGACTGTGCTGTCGCCCGTCTCCTCAGGGCCCTTGGTGCACTCCACACTCTCCACCGTCTCCTGGACACCCTTGCAGCCGGGCTTGCCCAGAGACCTGGATCCCCAGGTCCAGCAGCTGGTCTCACAGTTCCCCGTCTACCACAGCCACCGCACGTTCTCCGAGAGCCTGATGCCCTTCTCCTCCGTGCCCGACATCCACGTGCGCTCCTCGGCGCCCGATGCGATGCCCGATCACCCACTGCCGCTGGAGCAGACAGACTGGTCGCGGTCAAAGATGCTGGACCTGGGGCCGATTGACGCACTCAACTACTTCTGCAAGCAGCGGAGGAGCTGCCTGCAGGAGGTGGCCGGGGACCAGAGGCTGCACATGCTGCCGCCCAACGCCGTGGTGCCACAGCCCCGCGATCACCTGTGAGCAGCTGAGGGCTCCAGGCACCGGCTGGGGCAGGGCCCACGGTGGGCTGGGGGCCTGGCTCAGTCAAACCTACCTTCTTTTTTATTTTTATTTTTTAAAATATATTTTTATTGATTTCAGAGAGGAAAAGAGAGGGAGAGAGAAACATCAATGATGAGAGAGAATCATCGATTGGCTGCCTTCTGTATGCCCCTTATTAGGGATTGAGTCCGAAACCCAGGCATGTCCCCCTTGACTGGAATCGAACCTGGGTCCCTTCAGTCTGCACGCTGACGCTCTATCCACTGAGCTGCACCAGCCAGGGCTCACACCCACCTTCTTACCACCCTAGGCTTGACCCCATTCTCAGGCTCCAGGAGATCAAGCTCCAGGGATCTGCAATGAGACTGAGGGGTGAGTGGGGACAGGGGTAGAGATTGGACCCTGAGCGCCACCCCACCCCCACCCCAGCTTGGGTCCCACGGGCCTCAACCTCACCCCAGGCCTCACCGCCCTGATGACCCCAGGCCAGATGCTGGCCCGGCACGGTGAGGGCCGCACCCTCGATGGCTCCATCCGGACGCTGAAGCTGCCGCTGCCTCGGGTGGAGCTGCGTCCTTTCCCCGTGGACTGGCCCAGGCCTGCCCGCCCGCTGCCGCCCCTGCTCCTGCAGCCAGCCCTGCAGCGCTACTTCCTGCCGGACCTTGCAGACCCGGACTTCTACCGCTGACCCACTGGCAACCTTGGCCGGACCCTGGTCCCAGCCCCACCTGCCCTCCAGCAGGGGTTCAGGACACAGCTCTCCACCCGCTGTCCACCCCTGGCCAAGACTGGGGACTGGAATAAAGTCCAGCCAGCAAACTAGGTGCCATGACCATCTTTGGGGACCACCAGGGTGGGCAGGGAGGGGTGGCTGGTGGAGTGGGTGGGGCAGGGTCGGGGCTGTGGTCAGCCCATGGGGGGCCAGGCCTGTCCACCCAGGCAGGGAGCCCTAGTGTGGGCTCGTCCCTGCTCAGACATCAACCAGCATTTCTCCATCAGTTACTGAGGGCGAGAAGGGAGGGCGGACTACAGGCCAGCCGGTGGCCAGGTGTTCTGGGGAGAGGAGGGGGTCTGGATGGCTACAGGTGTGGGTGGGCTGCAGTCTTTTTTTTTTAAATATATTTTTATTGATTTCAGAGAGAAAGGGAGAGGTAAAAACATCAATGATAAGAATCATTGATTGGCTGCCTCCTGTACACCCTCCACTGGGGATCGAGCTGCAACTTGGGCATGTGTCCTGACCAGGAATCAAGTTGTGACCTCCTGGGTCATAGGTTGAAGCTCAACCGCTGAGCCAGGCCAGCCGGGCAGGGGCTGTGGTCTTTGGATGCAGGAGAGACTGGGAATCTGCTGGCACATCCTTCCCTTTAGGCTAGGACTCATGTCTCGTCCAAAAAGCAATGAAAGGGCCGTGTCCTCAGGACCTTGAACTTACCACCAGCCAGGGACAGACTATCTGTGAAGCGCAGGGTCTGGAAGGCTTCCCAGGGACTTCCGTGCACACCGGCGACTTGGCCACCGGGGAAGGGCCTGTTCTGGCGTTCACACCCTTTGGTTGGGCTGCCCGGGCAGCAGTTTCCTTCCTGTGAGTGTCTTCAGCCTCCGGCTTTAGAGGTTGCTTCCTCATGGCTTTCTGGTTACAGCTGGCCTCCCACACCTTCCCCATCGCCCCCGAGCTGCGCAGGGGGTCCTGATATGGGGCTGCTGAGTAGAGGGTTCTTTTGAGGCCAAGCAGGGCCAGGGTGCCAGCCTGGAGAGCTGCAGGGCGGAACCATTTTAAAAGGGGTTTGTGCGGCCTATGGTGGTCTGCTTCTACTGGTTTTCATGGTTCAAATGATAAAAGCAACAAAAGCTTTTAAAACTAAAAAATGAGCCCTGGCCAGTGTAGCTCATTGGTTAGCACATTTACCCATGCACTGAAGGGTTGAAGGTTCGATTCCCCATGAAGGGCACATACCTGGGTTGCAGGTTCAATCCCTGGCCCCGGTTGGGGCTGTGTGGTAGGCAACCAATCAATGAGTCTCTTTCACATTGATGTTTTTCTCTCTCTCCCCGGCTCCCTCCTTTCCAGTCTCTAAAAATCAATGGAAAAACTATCCTCGGGTGAGGGAGGATTACCAAAAACAACAATGACAAAAAACAAACAAACAAAACAAACAAACAAAACAATATGAGAAAGCAGGGCAAGGGTAGACAGGTAAAAAAACAACCACCATAAATGAAAATATTAATATTTTAAAATACATAACAATATGCAATTATTTTTAAATGAAATCTGTTAACTGAAATATAGCATTAAGAGAGTGAAAAGGCAGGCCACATGTAACTAAAAATGACTCACCCTCAAAACATAGAAAGAACTTCTACAAGTCAATAACAACAAGAAGAATCACACAACCTAATGAAAAAAATGGACAGAAAGCCAGAATGTGATTTTCACTATAGTAGTCAAAATAGAAGAAAAAAAAATTTACCCCACTTCCTGTGTGATGTGAGGTGCGTTACTGTAAGCCTCAGTTTCCCCATCTATGAAAGGGGACACCTCACAGGACTGCTGTGAGGATGAAGTTACTTAGTATTAATCTCAACACTCCGGCCCAGGGCTCAGCACAGGGTGTGCAGATAGAAGGTGAAGCTGGACCCCTTCCTCACATTATTGACAGGAGAAACTTCCAGACGATCTGAATATTGGAAATAAAACTCTAAGTGTACCACAAGGTAACCAGAACACTTAGAAGGGAAAGATAGACATATTTGCTGAATAAAAAATGGATTGATGCTCAGCCACTGAGCCATGCCAGCCTGGCCAACTCTTGTCATTTTAACTTTGAAATTATTTCCTTTTTTTTTTTTTTTTACCTTTTCATTTATCTTGGAAATATTTAAAGCTCCCTAGCTGGTGATTTCTGTAACCACTTGTGGACTACAAGTGGGCCCTGAAGGTGCACATTTTTGTCTCACTCAAAAGTGCCCACCAGAGGGCACCGTTTACCTGTGTTACCCATAACCTCCCACTCCACTCCCCAGAAACGTTCTGCTTTTAGAGGCCGGATCTGCATGCGGGGAGCTCCTAGTGTCCTTGGAAGGGTGGCACCTCCTCCGCTCCCACGGGACTCACAGCTCAGGTCGGGCCTGCGGCTGTGGGGTGCCCTCCTCATGGGCCTGCGTCGGGGGGCCAATCCCAGCACTTGGGCTTGTTACCTACAGGCTTCAGGGGCTCACTGCTCCTAGGGCTAGCATCCTAGTCCTCAGTGCAGATAAAACTAATACCCATCTTTTTTTTTTTAAAGAAGGCACTGTGTCTTTTTTTTTTTTTAATTGATTTCAGAGAGGAAGGAGAGAGAGAGAGAAACATCAATGATGAGAGAGAATCATTGATCAGCTGCCTCCTGCAAGCCCTCCACTGGGGATCGAGTCTGTAACCCAGGCATGTGCCCTTGACCGGAATCGAACCTGGGACCCTTTAGTCCACAGGCTGAAGTTCTATCCACTGAGCCAAACCAGCTAGGGCGATACCCATCTTTTAAGGGGCTTGTAACCGTGTGAAAGTAAAGTACATAAATAATCCACGACAAAGGATAAATGGGGAAAACCTTGTAATGGGAAAGAAGAGTGGTCTCCCCGAGCTGGTTGCACAGTGGTTAGGGCTTAGGCCTGAGGACCCATGGGTTGCGGTTTGGTTCCAGGCGAGGACGCATGCGGCTCGACCCCAGTAGGGGGTGAGCAGGAGACAGCCGATCCATGATTCTCTCTCCTCATTGATATTTCTCTCTCTCCCTCTCCCTTCCTGCCTAGAATCTATAAAAAAAAATACATTTTAAAAAAATAAAATTTAGCATTTTACTATTTTTTAATACATTTGTATTGATTTCAGAGAGGAAAGGAGAGGGAGAGAGCGATAGAAACATCAATGATGAGAGAGACCCATTGATCGGCTGCCTCCTGCACACCCTCCACTGGGGATCCAGCCCGCAACCCCGGCATGTGCCCTTGACCGGAATCGAACCTGGGACCCTCTAGTCCACAGTCCGACGCTCTATCCACTGAGCCAAACCAGCTACGGCTATAAAAATATTTTTTTAAATATAAGAGAGGAAGGGAGAGAGATAGTTAGAAACATCGACGAGAGTGAAACATCGATCAGCTGCCTCCTGCACATCTCCCACTGGGGATAC